ATCGAATCCACCAGGGAGCACCAGTTCCCTCAAGATTACAGGTACACCTTGCTGACGAGTGCCAAGTAGCACGAAACCCGGGTCCAGGGTTTCCTGTTGACTACCTCTAACCACCATCTAAATCTGGATACTTCTCACTGAAGTTAAGCATTACAATAGTAACTTGGTCGATAGAATTTTGTCAGTACTAAAGAATACGCAAACATGATATTAATCACTATCCAATCATTAATCAACTGGTAAATATCTCTGTCTAACAAGAGGTCAATCACGGCCCGAATGACGTTTTACACTATGAAGCTTAGCGGTCCAAATTTGCATCCTACAGAAAGTGCCATTCTCCTCAAGGTTTTTGTGTGCATTGCTAACAAGTGCCAACTAAAACGAAACTCATGCGGAGTAAGGTTTCCTGTTGGCTACCATCGATAGATTAACAATGATAACATATATTCACCTGAGCTTTGAACATATATGTAGAGAGAGAGTAGATAAGCCCGCCAAGTAGTCCATACTAAGATTATTCACACACACACACACACATACGAACTCTATGAAGAACGAGAACATTAACAACAAAATAAAAATTCCGTTTTTCATTCCCATAAGATATATTTCTCTAAAACCTATATATAAAAACAGGGGAGGGGGGAAAAGCGAAACTATTTACAATCATCAGTTCGCATAAGAGACATTATGAAAGAATAGTAACTAGGGGTAATATGTATTGTATATATATACACACACACTCACAAAGTATACAGAAATATGTTTGTTTCTAAGAGTTCTACATATTCTTCATTCAATACGTTCATAAAATAAAACATAAGCTTGACAATTCAATACAGTTGATTGGGATACACGTGTTATATGACTGTCGGAACAATAGAACCATTGACGTGAATCATCATTATCATGATGATCATCATTAACCACTTCATTATTATGACTTGTTGAATCATTGATAGTGTTGTTGCCATTTTGAGTACAAGATATAAAATTATTCGATGACAATAACAATTGATGATGATCACAACGACGAAGACGTTGAATTAAATCATTAACAGATAAAGGCCATTTAGGTGAACGATTCAATGAACCAATGAATTGATGCTCTATACGATCTGATTGATTATCATTATAATTAGTGTATGATTTTGGTAAAGTTACATAAGCTACATAATGACCAGAAGTTAAATGTCCAGTATGTTCAATCACACCGTAAAGACGATAACGAATCTGATTGGAATGAGTCTACAAATAAAGTTTAAACAAATAGAGAACTGAAGGAATAACATTTCATTAGACTAATTTCAAATAATACATCCACTTCACAGAGTCAAACAAGAATCAAACTAATTATCATAATGAAATATTACATAGGATCGTTGAATGGACAACAATAACCACAAGAAATGATCTGTTAGGAGATCAACCTACACTAATATGTCTATAGTTGTAGAATTTAGCGCTGTTAGAGGTGTATGGGTGGTTTATACAACCCTGTTACTAATACCGTGGAAGGAATACCTTACTGAGAAGTCAAGAAAAGAAGCTGCATCAGTAATGAAAGGCCTATCAACCTATCAACGTGAACCTAGGTATCAAGAGATAACTGTTTGCACCTGACCAATCTAAAATAAATGACATTTGACTCTGTAGTCATGCTTCCGGGTCGACAAGACAATCACTACTAATCCAGACGTCACAAGAAAATACATTTCTAAAGCGTGTGGGAGGACGGAGAGTGATAACAGTTCACACACCGTTTTTAAAATCAATTATCTTGTTTACCGCCAAATGCTCAACAGAACCTCTGCAACTGTAAGATTTCCTAATAAGTATCTCTCAGAATACGTATGTATAGCATAATTAGCGGTCAATACAAAGTATAATTTCATGAAATATAATAAATGACTTTAAAAATTTGATATTTATTATTTATCTATTTGAACACATAAATATTGGTACGAAGGGGCACCGAATGCATATACGCCGCACAAGTCACTCAATTTGTGTGTGAGCTGTGATACGGTATGGGTGCCCGAACCGAAACAGGTGGTTCCCTTTGGGGGCTACACCCAAAGCCTTCAACTTAAAGGTCTAATCCACAAGGCAGTGGAGAAATGTCAGGAGATGCAGTCCTATAGTACCTGGTGATCAATAATTGGTTCATACGCCATTTGTTCTTTCAGGATCCTGGAGTCCATGTGTACCATCGGTTTGGAGTAAGGGTTTTCCAACTCTCCTAGGTGGATTCTCCAAACCTAACTACTCGGTTAAAGCGCCAGACATTCGCTTCTCGTTCTCTCAATTTCGTAAACACCACACCCGCCGTGAGATGGTAGTGAGTAGGACTTCCCTTAGTAGTAACTGTATACGCGTGTCCATGTGAGAGTATTTGAAGAGGGAGAGCTAACTCTCACCACCCCCGGTCGTACCAGGGCATTTTGGAGCCTTGGTCAGTATTAACAAATATAAATGTACACGATGGGTAATTTTTTGTATCAAACAAACAAAGGTTATAAGAATAATCATCAAAGAAAAATGACAAAAAACTATTTACCATAGCTAGTACAGAACAGAAAGGAGTGATATCCAAGTAGATTGGGAAATGAATACGTTTCTGAGATTTTCGTAATTGAACACCGACCTGAAATGTGGAAGAAAGTAGACATTAAGGAGTATAAACAGCCTCAGTTTATTTGAAAGCTAAAAATTATATATATATCACATAATTTCGTCTGTAGGCCTTCTAAGATTACTGTCTGTCCCAAACCTGGATAAAGAAGGGTTGAAGATGGGATCAGCAACCTCAGCCCACATAAAACGACCTAGGTATTAAAAAAATTTCAAACCATTTGAACTGTCCTGCGAGTTGAAAGATCTTCATTCATAAGAATTATGACGCCTCAGTGTGAAAGCACAGATTCTTTGGAAATCAAGAAGTCGATAACCCTTGAAACAACCAGAGCAACAATTATTATATATGTACATGGAACGTTCAGACAATGTGAACTAATGAAAGGGCCAATGAAATAGCTGTGGAAATGAGGAGATACAAATTGGCGGTTCTCAGAATAAGTGGAACGTATTGAATCAACCTGAATAGAAAAGACTAGCTTAGGGAGAAGTGTTGTTGTACTCTGATCATGAAAAACAAAATGCATCGCACATACTGGAAGTTGCAGTGATGCTGTATACAAAAGCACGAAAAGTACTTATAGAATGAGAATCTCATGGTTCCACGTTCATGAAAGCATCCTTCAAAGCAAAGAAGGGAATCACAATGAATTATATCCAGTATTCGGCACTCAACAACGATAGCGATGACGACGATAAAGATCAGTTCTATGAGAGGCTGCAATCAATCATATTGAAGTGTTCGGGAAAGGACTTGACCATCTAGATGGTAGACCTGAACACCAATGTTGGAATGGACAAAACCGGATACGAAGATATCATGGGACGACATGGACTAAGACAAAGGAACCAGAATGGTGAGAGATTTGAAAATTTATGTGCATTCAATAAAATGGTTAAAGGTGGAAATACAATCCCTCAAAAACATATACACAAACATACATGGGTCTCAATGGATCATACTACACACAACCAGATAAATAAGACATGCACCACCAAAAAACTCAGACGGTCAATGTGAGACGTGAGAATCAAGAGCGAAGCTCACATAGCTTCACATCACCATATGATTGTGAGTGACAAGATGAAACTGAAGCTAAACAAACACTGGACAACCGGACAAACAGCATCACAAACCTTCGATACAGACTTCCTACGAGATACTGACAAACTCAATGAATCCAAGATAACTCTCAACAACAGGTTCCAATGTGGTGTGTGCTACTTATATTGACATAAGTAGTAGATGATGTTAGTCGTAAACAGAAGGTCTGGCAGCAGAGAGATAAGAGGATCGAACAGTAATTAATGGAAACAGAATGCAATTTGTATGAAAATGCAAGAACAATGAAGTCTGAGTCATTACGAGACAACTGGTAGACATTTTGCAAATTAAGTATTTACTTTATGATTGTTAGATTTTATTAACAAGTCCTGCAATTTTGTGTTAAATACATCCGATTGTCCCCACCCGTGTTCTGTTCACTACAGTTTCACAATATACCTCACACTTAACGCGTATCTCCAAGTCAAGTACACAAGTCTGTACTTGGTGAATGAACTAAACTAACAGTGTTAGCTGTTCTGAATGTTAATACTGCTTGTTTCAGTGCGAAATAAATAGGTGCGCAACTTAATAGTTGAATGTCTGTACGGTACTGATCAGTAGACGCCCAACTTCGAAATACACAGACCGAATTCCGTAAGGATCAGTCGTGCACAAACTAAATCTTGACACTACGAATCATTGTTGGGTAACCAGTCGAGCAGAATTCGTCACTATACATCGAATTCATTGAATATAAGGCGTTTGACAGTGTAGATAGAACATTATGGAACCTTCTTCGACTGGATTATGAACACCTCAACGTCGGTATCCGCACTTAATCAAACATGTTCGTAGGTACGGGTTGTGCTTCGCACCTTCAAAGTGCAAAGTACTTGTACGAGACTGGCAGGATTCCAATCCTGTACTCACCCTGGATGGTGAACAGATAAAGTAGTCGAGAAGTTCGTGTATCTAGGTAGCTGCATAAGTGCTGGTGGTGGCGTGAGTGATGAGACGAATGCACGTATAGTGAAGGCCAGAGCGGCTTATGTCAATGTGAGCCATCTTTGGCGCCTTCGTTATGTCAGTCTGGCTGTAAAAGGTCGGGTCCACAACGCGTCGGTGAGAGCAGTTCTGCTCTATGTTTGTGATCCTTCTGTAACCTTCATTTACTTTCTTCATAAAAAGTGGTTGTATCTTCCTTAACTGAAAGAATTCTTCTGGTTGTACCTTTCCGTTTCCCCCGATTATTATAATTATTACACTTCCTTACACTAATCTAGTCGTTATTGTTCCTCTTCTTTTTTTCTTTACGCTCCTTACCCTTTTCTCCCCACTCTCATTGTTTTGTGTGGCACATATATATTTGGTGCCCCCTTGTACTAATATTTATGTATTCAAATAATAAATAATAATAAATACATCTGAGGGGAATCACGGAATACAATGGACAGCTTGGATGCAAGTAGATGATTTGGACTTCGCAGATGATCCGGTCCTTCTATCTCATACACACGAACAAATGCAGGTCAAGACAACTAATGTAGCAGCATCTTATGCATCAGTAGGCCTCAGAAAACACAATCGGGAAAACTAAGATCCTCAAATGCAACACGGAGAACACCAACCCAATCACGTTTAGTGGAGAAGCTCTAGAAGAGGCATAAATTTTCACATACCTGGGCAGCATCACTTATAAACAAGTGGGATCTGATATATATGTGGGGGAACTGATTGGAAAAGCAAGGTATAGCATTTCTAAATTATCGAGGATACATATTCTTGTACTCCTACTTATACGAACCATAGATGTATTATTTTTTTATATCTCCAGTCTTTTATATTCTTACCGAGATTCAAGTGTGGAAAATTCCTGAGGGCTATGAATTGATTAGCATCAAACATTCAAGTACCAGACGTCGAGATGTACAGGACAAGCTGTAAACCACAAGTGTAGAAATTCGAACACTTCACTTCTACCTGAAGTTTGCGCTGATGATATCGTTCAGAAGAACGATGAAAGCTCCACGACCAAACCATTCAGCTTAGAGAATAAAACTCCACCAAAAGTGCCAGACGTATTAAGAGTAAACCAATGTTTCTTTTTCCTACTATCAAGAGAATAATTTACCTGTTGAAATCGCTTCAAATGTATTGTCAGAATTGGTGGAGGCTTATAGATTAAATCACGTTTGATAACATCTTGTAAAATGTCTGGCTTGTTGTTGTTAGACGTTTGTTTATTCATTGTTTCACTAGGCAAATTGTTTTCCAATTCATCTAATGAGTTTCGTTTTGTGCATACATCACAAATTAAACGATTAGATCCGGTTAATAATTCAGCAGAAGTATATTTTGAAAGACATTCATAAATAGATGTGACTCCATCTTCTGTTGAGTTGATACTTTTACTCTGACCAAGTGGGATTCGCGCATAATGAATAGCTTGATTTAGTTCATCGGAATCACATGAAAACGATGGAACTGTGTTCAAGCATAGTTTATCTAATTCATAAGTAATCTGTTCCGTATTGGTATTATTCATCTCTACTTGTTGTACATTTTCATCACAACCATTTGTAATAACTTGTAGTGATGCAACACTATCACATCGATCACTGCCTTCACCGTCTGCACAATTTCCTTCATAAAAAAATAAGTAACAAAAAGGATAAATAGACTATAGAATAAGTCAAATTGAAGGTAGACGGAAAGTATAGAATCACAAAAGCATCTATGAAACAAATAAAACGAACTGTAGTAAGTACTTATCATGAGACATTATATCTAAAAGTTAAATTTTTGCTATACTGCGTACAACTTGAGCACTCAAACGTTTGAAACCCCCAAATACCCTGATACGGCCGAGAGTGGGAAGAGTCCGTCGAGATTTTGGAATGTACTTCCAGACGATGATTGGATGGAATGTCTTCGCTTCTTTCAGAGCTTCCTTCAGTTCACTAGGAGCCGTCCTCACAAGACGTAACTACTGACGTCCTAGTGAAAAGTGGTAATCAGTGGATTTTAATCATGTCAATCATGAGGGAGTTACTTACTAGTATCACTGGATGTTAGATGTACAATATCATAAATTGACCGACGTTAGGAATGTTAGCCATTGGATGCCGATTCAATTATTTGAATGTCAACTGCTAGCCGTGAGACCTGAAGCTCTTAGGGTTTAAATCCTTTATGGTGAGGTCGTAGATGGGCATCACGGAGAAGTCCCACACTACGATAAAACAGTTGTCCAGTCCCTCCTGGATTTAAACGGTTGTCTAACTAAAACAAGTTTGTGAAATAAACTGAATAAATCACTATGTCTGAATTTGTATCCATGTTAACTTAAGATGATTGACGAAAGAACAAGTAAATAAAGTATACGACTGATATAACGAGATGATTAGTGAGATGATCATATGAAGGATTACTATTTATACTTCCATAGTACAGTTAGTAGATATTCATACTGTCGTGTCTTCATATTATCTTATTTTTAAGGTTTTATTTGAACCATAAATCATCGCCACATGTCTTATCATTAAAAAATCGCACAGAATCAAATTGCATCAAGGTAAGTTGGAACTTGGAAATCTCAAAGCGAAAACAATAGAGACAGACCAAAGGACATATTACACAGAGAATTGAAAGCAGACATCAAAAGAATGAATAGCACTTAATCAATAACTGGAAAAGAGGGTTTAAGGCAGAGTTGGTTGAAGAATCCTGGTCGGCAGTCCGAAGGGTAAAAATCGTATATATAGTATGAAATTTCAGTAATAATCCCTTCTGTTGTTTTAAGGAATTGAATATGAAAACCTTAAGCTTGCAGATCAGTAGAATGATTAGAATCGATTAAATGTTCAAGAACAGAACTTAAAACTGCTTTTTTCTTACTTTTGCAGAACTACACTGTAATGTGTCCTCATATTTGAATTGAGATTGACTGCTGACTATGGCCTATGGTACCTTGCTTCACAAGAGCAGATGAACTGGTAGATGTACATAGAGAAAACCAGATGAGAAAATTTATCCTATACAGATACAAACTTTCTGCTAATCAATGTCAGTTGCCGCACAGAATCTTCTTTTAATAGCTGTTGATAGATAATATTTGAATATATCGGAGGTTCAGTCACCTTTAAATTCCAGAATCATATACAGGTATTTCATTGAAACAGAATTTCTGAATTCGTTGTTCCAACTTTCTTTCATAATTTTTTTCACGAAGTAGCTTGAATAGCCATTTTCAGCCAATATTCTTCTGGGTAACTCAAGTCCTTCCTCAATGCATGTCAGTAACATGAAGAGTGAATAAGATTTCTTTTTCTTCTTAAAGGAACCGAGTTATGGAAATTGGTTAGTTAGCCATTCCATGATTGTTTTCTGTAAATAGACCTTTCTAAGGGGTTCGTTGTTACTTGAAATCAAAAGCAGATTACAAAATAAGACAGAATAGGCTACATCATTTTCTAACTTCTAGTAACTATACTACAATAAATTCGATCGATTGCAACACAATCATGCCAAGGAACTTAATTACCTAACGACTAACTAAATATTATTTGGAAACTGAGAATATTATTTATTTATTTCAACACATAGATATTGGTACAAAGAGGCACCAAATACATATGCGCCACACAAATCTCATTCGATATGTGTGAGGGCTATGATACTGCCCGGGTGCCCAAACCGAAGCAGGTGTTTTTCTTAGGGGGTCACTCCCAGAGCCTTCGACCTGAAGGTCTGATCCACAAGGCAGTGGAGCGTCGTAAGAAGATGCAGCCTCATGGAAGCCGGTGACCAACAATTGTTTCATACGCCATTTGTTCCCGTAGGATGCTGGAGCCCATGTGCACCATTGGTTTGGAATCCGGTTAAAGTGCCGGACATTCGCTTTTCGTCCTGTCAATTTCGTAAACAACACCCATGGTGCGAGAAGGCAGTGAGTAGGACTTCCTTGGCAGAGGCTATATACGCGTGGCCGTGTGAGAGCATTTCGAGAGGGAGAGTGGACTCTTCCCACTCTCGGTCATTCAGGGGCTGAATAAAGAGATGTGAATATCAATGGATAAATGTAAAAATACACAAATAAGAATTCTTCTTTCTAAGAAAAAAAAAGTAAACAGCTTACCGTCTGAGGATGCCACTTCATCACAAAAACTTTGATTTAATGTTTCACCTAAAAGGATTAAGAAAACGTTTATCATTAATAATAAAGTATAAGTAATGTACATTTTTATTTATTTATTTGAAGATATAAATATTGGTACAAAAGAGCACCGAATACACAAACGCTATACAAGCCACTTGATCTGTATGTGAGCTGTGATACTGTCCGGGTGACCAGACCGAATCAAGTGGTTTTCTTAGAGGGCCACACTCAGAGCATTCAACTTAAAGGTCTAATCCACAAGGCAGTGGAGCAACGTGAGAAGATACAGTCCCATGGTAGCCAGTCACCAACAATTGGTTCATACACCATTTGTTACTTCGGGATACTGGAATGCATATAAACCATTTGTTTGGGATGAGAGTTTTCCAACTCCCCTAGGTGAATCATCCACATCAACAAACCCGGTTTAAGCCCCTGTCTGATATTCGCTTTTCGTCCTCTCAATTTTGTAAACAACACTCGTGGTGCGAGAAGGCAGTGAGTAGGACTTCTTTGAGAGTGGCTGTATACTCGTGGTCATGTGAGAGCATTTGGAGAGGGAGAGCTAACTCTCCCTACCCTCGGCCGTACCAGGGCATTTGGGGGATCTCTTATGCTCAAGTCACTGTGTTGACTTAGCATGGGAGGTACTAGGAGAGCTTAAAAAACCTAATCTAGCGTTCAATTAGAAGACTTATCACAACTCAATATAACAAAAAAATCACATCAACCTAACAGAAAATGGTTTGTTTTACAATTAATCAATAAAACAGAAGAAATTATGCATTAAAATATAAACTACTTATAAGTACTAAAAAGTATCTAAATTTCATAAACCAACGTTAAGTGAATAAGTTAAAACAGGAAGTATTTTTGTTGTTAATTTTCAGTAGTACATTTCATGATCCAGCCCCCAAATCCCCTGGTATGGATGAGGGTGGGGAGAGTCAACTCTCCCTCTTCAAATGCTCTCACATGACCACGAGTATACAGCCACTCTCAAGGAAGTCCTACTCACTGCCTTCTCGCATCATGGGTGTGGTTTACGGAATTGAAAGGACGAAAAATGAATGTCCAACAGGGGCTTAAACCTGGTTGGTTGGTGTGGAGGATTCACCTAGGGGAGTTGGAAAACCCTCATTCTTTAGCGGAAGACTCACTCGAGTATCTATTGTGTTTAGTGTCCTTTTTTCTCCGTGTATTTGAGTGAAGTGTCCAATCCACGTTCAGAAAGTCCCATGCACTTTGTACGAAACATTTCCTATTCTCTTTTTAATGATCTCCGGTTCCAAAAGATTCTGCCTGGTCCTACGTTGTAGCTGACTGACTGACTGAAGAATCACTAAACCACCAGCTTCACTGGTTACAAACACAAGTAACCACTATGAATGAATTCATTTCTTTCTAAAACAATCTCCCTAAAAAGATGTAGTTTCGTAGTGAAATCCATTCTATAAAAAACTACGAATGATTCATAAAAATTCAACAAGTAAAAATAGAAAGACATAAGAAACAATAAAACGTTTACTCACTTGAAAGTTCGCATTCATTCAAATTGGGCAAATTCTCCCCATTCTTATTTACATCGTTGTTGCCATTATTATCTTTATATTGGTTCTCATCTATGTCAAGATCCCCATTGACGTTCTCTATTAGCTTACTATCTACATTTGGAGTTGTTACATCATCACAACACATTGCAATAAATGTATCCAATGGTGAATGTTCAATTTGTTTTGTTTTTCGACTATCTGAATCTGAACTGCACTGATCTAGACATTCCTGATCTGACTGATGATCATGTATAAAATGTTGACGTTTCCGTTGTTTTTGAGTTTTACGTTTACGCTATAATTTGTTGAAAATAATATTAAAATAATAAAATGCCGGATTTAGAAGTCCACTTCTTAGATGCTTCGTAAAAATGTAACCGAATGACTCGATACGAATATCAATGTACAAAAATGCAATATGAAAAGGCTAGTATACTAAATTTCAAAGTTGGATCCCACTGAAACAAAAGAGAAACCTAATCCTGTTATATCCTAGTGAAGATTAAAGTACGAGTAACGTCTGAGACTCATTAATGAACTAATATTATCTATGTATTCTTGTTATATAATTATTCAGTAATTAGATTATGTATATTTATATTCCTCTTATTGTAAGCTTTATTTTGACCTATAATTTAGTATTGTACGATTTACGGTTCTTAAATTATGCTCAGTTTATTAACTACTGTATCCCTTGTTCACAGTCAATTTTTGGCTTTATTGTATACAAATGTTATTTCCTACTTTATGGTGCGTTGCAGTCTGTTTGGTTGATATATAAACCCGTTATGTCTGAAATAAATGATTCGATTCAATTCGCATAGTGGAAGCTGGTATTGGTGTTCTGGACTCAAATGGATGGGCTAGGTGGACATAGGACCAATAAGGACACTAGGTTGCTCATACCGGTCGAACGTTATTGGTTTGGCACAGTGCTAAGATTGTATTAGTCGTATTTTGATTGGTGGATAAATCACGGGATAAAAAGCCGGACATAAAGTCATAACAAATCCATATACGATGGTTAGACGAATCTGTGCCGATGATACAATCAAAACTGACCTTGATACAATGTGGTAAATGCTAGCCAACAATGGATGTCCACCTAGATTCATTAACATCTGAAGTCAATGTAGAAACGTGAATGAGTGTATATAGCATCAAAGAAGATTCTTTTCATGAACGCTTAGTTTGAATGGAGATACAGTGGCAGGAATTCTGGAAAACAGACTTTCTGCATCTCTGAGATAAACATTTTATTCGGGTGAACTTAATGTTACCTTTTTTAGTCGACATTGTTGGAGATGTTAGATTCCCAAAAATCACTTGGCAAACGTCTCATGGATACCATCCTACCGGGTATCCCAGTGGTCACAACTTATCTAGACGATATCTTAATTGTTGTCACTTCGTTAGAACAGCTACGAGAACGCACGACAGCTGTAATACAACGTATCAGTGATAATAGGTTTCTATTACCTCCAGAAGAGTGTTAATTTTTCTTAAAGTCAATAAAGTACTTAGGTCTCATATTTGACAATGCAGGCCGCAGACCAGATCCCGAATATATTCGGACTATGCAGTCGGTGCCTACTCCAATCAATGAATTTATCTTGTATCAGATCTATTTACACACATCGACAACTGTTATCTTAACACAATTTTCTTCACTTTTTACATCAAATATCTTATACACACTACAACAAATCTCATTCGCAACATTCTTAAAATGATTTGATAACCTACTTAATATACAGTTAATCAAAGAATCGTGTATGTTTTTATATTTGATCATATTGATGTTTGACTAGATTTTCTTGAGAATGCTTGGATTAGGAATGTCAAAAGAAACGTTCAATTTATGGGAATTTCAAGAAAATGATTTTTCCCTTTATTGTCTTCAATTATCTCGGCACACAACTGGTGTGAAACCGTTTGTTTAAATTTAGACGAAATGCCCTGGTATGGATGAAGGTGGGGAGAGTCAATTCTCCCTCTTCAGATGCTCTCACATGACCACGAGTATACAGCCACTCTCAAGGAAGTCCTACTCACTGCCTTCTCGCATCACGAGTGTTGTTTACAAAATTGAGAGGACAAAAAGTGAATATCAGACAGGGGCTTAAACCGGGTTTGTGGATGTGGATGATTCACCTAGGGGAGTTGGAAAACTCTCATTCCAAACAAATGGTTCATATGCATTCCAGTATCCCGAAGTAACAAATGGTGTATGAACCAATTGTTGGTGACTGGCTACCATGGGACTGTATCTTCTCACGTTGCTCCACTGCCTTGTGGATTAGACCTTTAAGTTGAAGGCTCTGAGTGTGGCCCTCTAAGAAAACCACCTGATTCGGTCTGGTCACCCGGACAGTATCACAGCCCACACACAAATCAAGTGACTTGTGTGGCGCATATGTATTCCGTGCCCCTTTGAACCAATATTTATGTGTTCAAATAAATAAAATAATAAATAAATAAATCTTAATTATTCTGTTGTTTTATTATAGACTACTATTCTGACCAAATAAATTAACCATGATTACGACTGTACAGCTTAAGTAAATGAAATTATCGAAAAGGAAACTCTTCCCCATGGATTGTTTCTTGTCTTTTCCGACAAGGTAATAAAAACTCATCATAATTTTTATACTCAGTACACTGATTTCCCTTTATAATTAAAATAGACAATATACTTACTTCCTTTTTCCGAAGTTGTTTGGAACTGGAGGCACCTATGAGACAAAATGAAAAGATCGGCCAGATGAATGATACAGAAATCAGAGTAATCATAGCGGCAATGCTAACAAGAAAGACGAGACATTCTTCAAGAAGACAGTGGAAAGGTATTTATGAAGGAATACTGGAACTTGAGGTTCATAAAACAATACTGAATGCGTTTTTCGCCGCACTGACCAATTTTAATCCATGTTGCCCAAATTCTTCAACGAGAGGTCGCGGTTACTGAATGGATCTCAATCAGGTAGTTTGCATTTACCGACTGGAACTGTAGCTTGATACAGCGTGACTTACACTTGATTACCTGGTGAATGAGCCTCCTAAACTGCTTTGCAGTGTATACCTCTTACTAAACTCATTAAGACGCCGATCAATGAAAACCACTCTCAAGTTGAAATAGAGAGATCATCTGTTATACCGGAAATGTCCACCTATCAAATGGTTTGTGACAGAAAATTTTGTGACATGATTTTTCTTGTTCTGACAGCTGTTTAACAGTTAAAAAGTATAGAAACTGGACATGGCAGTAGAATTTGGACTCAAACACTTAGTAAACTAACCTTTAGAATGCTGTTTAGACACAAATTCATTTGTATTGCGTTTTGAAACATTGTTTTGAGAAACAGACAATGAAAGGTCCAGAAATGGTTCAAATTTAGGGCGAACAGAACCACAACAACAACACTGTAATGTACTGACAAGAATCCCACCGAAAAGTCGATCTACAGTCGTGGCTATTGAAGCTGCTTTTCCCCAATTGCGAATAGACTCTTTCTCATCATCACGAACATCCTGTTATATGGTGAAGAAAAAATAAAATCTCAATTGTTGTGTAAAGTTGAAGTCCGAACTTGAAATCTCTTATCTTACAAGGCATAAGCATTAGTGTCTTACAGCTTATCGTAAAGTTATGCACACTTATATTTTACCACCAATTTGTGTTTCATTAAAGAATAATCTCTTCGTCGTGTAACTACCCTACATTAAACTACTGATTGAGAGGAAATGCTGGTCACTATAACGCCGTTCATATAATAAAAGCGTAGTTTCGATTAAGATGTTTATCACTTGGTTAAATAATTCCATGATACCAACTAAACAAGTGCAGCATATACGCATTTTGTATTTACCCCACTACTTTTGCAGGTGACGTTATTTACTGGGTGAACAGGTAAACGTGAAAATATTTGACACACATGAAGATAAAGGGCCCAATATTCCCTATACGCATCGGGAATTTAATAGTGACATATCATTTCAATAAACCACATTTTTAAACTAAAAGACAGAAGCACAGAAATTGAGCACAGAAAAGATAGTAGGTTGCATAGTGAAAACAGAATGTTTTAACATGTGTAGAGAAAAACGTGGCTGTGGCCATGTGACTCGGATAGATTTCTAAGTACTTTCATTAAGATGTCAAAACATTGATTCGCATTGTTTTGGAAACTTAGCTCTGCATTTCAAAAAATACGAAACTTAAGCTGACAATAAATGATTGCACTGATTGATAATCAGTCTCAAATTATGGCCGTCACTAATCTAGACAAAATCGTTTGCCCATGTATGTTGTAACTAGATAGGAAACAAGCAAGTCGATCATTCAAATTAATACATTTTGACTGACTTATCATTGCCGCCGATCAACAAATTCCTATAATTTGAGGCAACAATGGTTCGTACTCTAGATGGGAATACATTGGATTCAACTGTCAATCACAATATCAGGTAATAAGATTAGTCTGTCCTCCGACGTTTCTTCGTTTCGTAGCCTGATTAACAATGTGACAAGTTGCGTGTTTGGATTTGGTAGAAACAGACTCATTGAAACTAACCCTCAGGTATCTTTAAAAACGATAATAAAAATACGATAAAATCCGTCTACATATCTATCCCAGTAGTTGGAGACCTTAAATGACGTGATTCGGAATAATTCGCAGTGGTGCAGTACCAGATACTCGTTAACTTTCGATTTCAAACTACAGCATCATCTCATACATACTTTCCAACTGTCTTTACAAACCATGTTCATAAAGTTCGGTCTTTTTTTACCTTCCATACCACACTGCGTCATGTTTATTATGTATGACTAGACAGACTAACGCACGGTCATAGTAAGCCCTAAGCAGACGATCTTTGTTTATTTATAAAACCAATGTATGGGTACAGAGATGTTTGTGCGACGCAGCCGTAATCTAAATTGACTAATAACTCCCTTTCAAAAGCGAAAACAGGATATGACCTAAAACATGCGGTCAAGTGATGCAACTATCATATTAGCAAGTGTGGTCTAAGCATTGGAAGTCCGAGCAGATTTTGAAGATGAAACTTGATATCCGCAGCTCATTTCATACTAAGTCGTCTGTGGAGTGAGACTACACAAAGCGACGCCCCGTACAACTGCCTCCTATTTAAATCTTGGTCGCCATACTGAAGAACGCACTACAGAATCCGGATCAATTACTTAGGCCTAATGAATGAGTGTCTATAGGAAAACTTCTGAATAAGAATGCAGTTTGTCATCAAGATAAGGACTTACTACGACGTTATAATTATACATTGAATGATCAAAAAAGGCTAAGTTCAGAACTCTGAGAGAAATCCCTACACACGGATACGTTTATCCGGAATAAATTCCGCTAATTAAGCCAAATAATTGACTAACTTTTGGGTTAACATTGAGCTTGAGTAAAATACCCTTCTTCCAGCGTGCAAGTTCTTCTTGTTTTAAGCAGTCCAGGAGAGCACGAATTAATTCATGACTATCATGTTGCCCAAATCCACTGAATCGAGGACAACGTTCAACAAACACATTTCGAAACATCTTAAATGAAAATTCTAGAACTAGTTGCTAGAACAAACCCCAGGACTAATTGTGTTAGAAGAGCTCATCTTGGAATTTGAAAGTTCACCAGGCTTTAAAACAGAAATAAGTTCCTTAAATTGACTTGTCAGTGGGCACTTCATTAGTGGTAGAGAAACACATAACGTAGATATTGAATCCTAAACAATAAAGCAGGATTTTAAAGTTTACCCCATTAGGCTTAGTCAGAGTAGATTCTCTTGGTTCATCGACAACCAATAGATTTAAAAGCCATGGACTCCTTGCAAGACATTGAAGAGCAGCATTAAGATAACATGTGTTGCCTAAATTATGAAGACCCTAAAAATTATTTCCAAAGAAGTGTTACTTTAACTGGTACAGTTTCTTTCACATCGTTACGAAAGTTCACCTTGTCTCCTGAGCCAATAATGCTTAATGTTTAAGAATTACCAGAATTATCCAACGTCTGGTATAGTTCTCTCCTATTTTTGTTTTTCTTTCCCATAAATCTTACAGCATGACGTAACGAATACCTTAAAAGTGCCAGGAACTTGGATTCAATTCCCAATGCTTCAAATGTTTCTAAACGTAATAGAAGAACCTTTCACTTAACGAACATCCGTATCTAGTATCAGTGGATCATCGATACCTTCATGTAAGAACCTACGTAAGTTTAACGATAAAAGAGGAAAAAACCAGCGTAAGACTTCAGACAGTGAGGTACCAATATACCTAGACCTTTTCAACTTGGGGTATCCGTCGAGGGGTTAAACTCAGATGTATTCGTAGTTTGCAAAATGTCGTAAATGGATTACTTACTTGTTAAAAGTAAGTCTGTTGTTGTTTTCCCGACTGTGAAGTCGTGTCTTATCCTCCTGAAGTGCCAATTCATCCTCCTAACTGCAAACTTCCCCACAGAGTTTCACATCATAAACAAAAAGTAATAAATCTAACGATACCTGCTGTGTAAGATTGTTAATATAAATTTAAAAAAGAAAATGTCATAGTACTGAACCCTGAGGAATCCAACTAAGGTATCCCGTAAACTAGGAAAAAGTGAAGTTTACTCCGACTCTAAAATGTCGATTATTTAGATATGAAGTAAGCTGATCAAATAAAGGTGATCTGATACTTAATCGGTTGAGCTTATTGGCAAGACACATAAGACTGACCGTATCAAAAGCTTTTTAGAAGTCATGGAATATGAGCTCAACCTTCCCCTTGCGATCAAGGATGGTCATCTGGCTGAACACCACGACAAACAGGTTGGTTATACATGAGTGAGTCTCTTGTATACAAAGGAGTGTGGTGCTTGTGTTCCACTCATTACTTGTAAAATCGGAACTTGAAACCACTAAGAGACTATTTTGCTTATCTGTGGAGGCGCCACAAAGTTTTGTCTGTTGTTTTACTCTGGTCAGCAGCGAATCCCATGGTTACCGTCTCCTGTTTGCCTAGAAACGCATTTTCACCTTAGAATATAGTCTTGTACAATGCATAGATGTCCTGAAGAAAACAAAAACATAAGTCAATGATAACCAATATCTCTTCAATGAGCTGACACAAAGAAATTTTTTGTTTACGATTTCACATTGTAGTGGTAAATAAATCCCCAAAATAAATAGCTCTGTAAGCTTTCGACATTGGATGCTGACCATATGTTTTAGTGGACTCATCTAGCTGAAGGCGCTCGGCCATGCATCCTCACCAGATCACGTGTGGTAACGCTGTGCTCAACATCTACCGCAATCGCTAGCCAAATTAAATCAGAGAATTCCGATATATTGGTTATCGCCAAATACACTCTTCCGATCTCCTCGACTCTGTCTTTTGATTTCTCTCGGTGTGTACAAATTATATTAGAAAGTGTTGCTGTTAAAAGCGTTGTCAAACACTGAATACCTGTGTTATCCTGAACATTAACCCTATGCTATGACTCCAGGTCCAGTGTGGCCAGGAAACTAAGGTTCTTCGATACTACCTGAATTGATTATTAAGTGAGATTCGATATTTTTTAGCATTGACGAATGCACTTGTGCCTGAGCATCGAAATTAATGAAACAAGCTGCCAGCGCACTACCAAACATCACATTGTTCTGTCTAAATGTACAAAATCTGTGAATAAATTGTTGAGGCTATTATAAAACGGTCACATTGAGCAAATCAGCAGTTCGCGCAACCAACATTAACAGGCTAAATCCCAAGAATAAGAGGTGGACAAGGATAACGAGTAGTAGCGAACACAAGTGGGTTGAAGTAATTTTATTCATAGTATTGATAATCATAGGAATAATAGTGATAGTAACGATATGAAATATATATGCATCAGGTAAGGCTGGTGAAAAGTTAGGAACTCAAGACACGGATGAGTGCTTATTTTTCGTGTCTGATCTGTAATACTGTTCACTTAGAGGGACACACTCTTGTCGTCAATGTAGTAGTTCAGGTGAAACACACGAGTGATAAGAAAAAGCATGACATTACCTGGACATTAGCTCCGGAATGCCCCATTCGTTGTGGTTTACTTAGTGGAGTGGACCTTTGAGGTTCAGGAAGCTTGGTTTCGGTTGGGTGACCACGAATGTTTGTTGTATTGTATCCAATCAACGAATTGTCTCGTATTCTCCTGTGATTTGACAACAACGATCATAGGCGGCTAAGGCGGTCTTCGTACAGTTTGTCCCTCAATCCAGTAACTTCTGAATAGGACGATTATGTTCGTGTTTTAAGAGATTCATGTAGCTAAAAGTCGGAGATTCGTCAGACGAATGCTTAGATGTAATCCAGTATAGCCTAGAACCACCCTGATTTTAGGACAACTTAGCCCATAATATTGTCAACGACCATGAATAGAGGTGACGCGAGCGCCGAAGTAGTAACCTAACGCCCTGTGTCAACCCTTGGAAAGTGTTTGACAGGATATTGAGTACGAATGTGACACAAGGGCTCAGAATCCTAAGTCGATTATGGAGGGATGATAGAGCATGGTTCGCGGTATCAGGTCCCCTCTGATTCTACGTTGGGTCTGGTGAAATTGTGCTTCAACAGAGCAAACTCTAACTCTGGGGCACAGAGATCGGATTCTAAATGCCGGGATTTAATAGTTACAACGGCGTCCACTTCTACAGATGAAAAAATGTGCTTATTATTAGTGACCTTTTTCTGTGTTAAATCTGACGTTTGGTGACATTTTCGGTTTCAGACTGTCTTGGGTTTAGTATTTAGGAAATTGTGCTCCGACAATCTAAAAATCGAAGATTTATCGTATCACTGTTATAATAATTATAACAGAAATTTTTGTGGGTTAATGTAATTTACAAATAAATCATGTTATCTAGCCTGGAATAATGTTCTCTCGATATTTTGGTCGCAAATTACGAACGTGCCGACTGATCACGATTCCTTGACAGACTAGAGCAATAGCACAAACGTTCCTTAACTTTGTTTTCTGAATTTTCTGAATCACGGACTTTGAAAGTTCATTTATGAACAACCTTTTTGGTTATACCTGTTGAGTTCTTCGGAATTTCTTTCACGTTTGTATGAAAGAACTGTCTTTTTGGGACAAAGCTGATAAAAACGAGGATCAAAAGAGAATACAGCATTGTAAGGTGAGCTTCCCGAAGCTAGTCGCAAACCGTTTGATTTGAGTGGGGGTAAACTCATTACACTAGTGACCAGAGCATGGGTTTTGCCAGTATTAGTTCTGCCAGGTTCAGTTTAGGTAAGGCATTACTCAAGAAGAAACAACTAGAAAATTGGCTCGAATTGAAAAAAGAGTTCAAGATATTAGAGACACAAGATGTGGAGTTTTCGAAAATGAACATTTATAACAAGCAGACAGGAAGAAAGACGACGAATTCTATGTTACCTATGTTGTAAAAGGGTTGTAACAACCTGATTTGGGAGACCAAGAGTTGATCGAAAACATCTTGGCAATGTCAAAACATTGCAGCTCAAGTATCCGTTTACGTCCTTATTTGGTGCAAGCATTATATATCCTACTATCCTATGTTGAATGTTGGGGTTTTTGTGTGTTTCGAATGATAATCTCACTCTCCAAATGTTGTGTTTTACGATCTGGATAGAAACTTGCTAAAATTACCAGTCTGGATTTTTTCAGAGCCGAGAATAAAAAGTAATTATTAGCAAGAAAGGCTTTCGGAGTTTGATATTTTCCTTTACTACACTCAAAAGCAGACATTCAATAGTTCAAAAGGAGAAAGTCGAAATTGTCATACGTATAAAGAATTGCCATATTATTTTCAGCTTGACGGCAGGTTACTTGTTGACTCCAAATAGCTTACCTCTGGAAGCTAAATGCGGAGAAAGCGGAAGTAGCATTTGCTTTTATTGCATCCCCCTGATGTTTACTATTAGTATCTAGGCTACTGTTCGCAAAAGTCCTAAACTGTGTTCCACCTATGCTGTTACAAGTTCCTGTAGGAGCGATGACTACAGAGAAATTATCCGACCCGAGTCTCCACTGTAGTTCACAACACTGTTAGTTGACGTGTTCAGAAACTAAATAATGAACAGTTCAAGCAAATTCATTTTTTCAGCTTTGCTAGATCTCTTTAGGGTTGTCTTGAATCAGCTTTTCATTTGACGACCCTCAACTGGTTGTTATTGTCAGCACAGCTATGAAACAAAGAATCAATAGTATGATCGATGATGAGTAAGTAATCTTGTGCTTGCCGTTTGCATGATAACGAAAAAATTTTACTTCCCATTTTTTCATGATTCATACTGGATACTGTGATTTTTAACCAGCTGTTAGGTCAGATATGTCCTGAAGTGTTCACCTATCCTGTTTTTTTCGAAAGTCTCACTGAAGCTTATCATAATCTTTGAAAAAGGTCGGTGTCAAAATTTAAAAGGTCAATCCTGAAGGACTTTAAAGAGACGGCATTAATCTTCAAAGAACAAATTATTTGCTCTGATAACCGATTCAACAACTAAGACTTTAACCGGTCAATTAATGGTGACTGAAGAGCTAACTGTTTGATCACATGCAGGTCAGTGTGACATTCATCAATTTCAGCGAATCATCTGATAAAATATCTCAATTGGAACTGATGCAGAACCTTCAAACCTTTGTAGTAAAATATAAAGTGCAAGATTTGAAAAAGACATTCAATTCTTATAAAGTATAGATATATTACGTCTGTAAAATTATGGTCTCATTCGGCATTAGTACTACTCTAATAAAAGACTCATACTCGAAGTTTTCGATTTGTAATGGCGTAAATGCCTGATCTATAAAATCTTACGTGTAGGTCACATCGTTGTTTAAGCTTGCTCGTCGTACTATCACAGTGAGCAATAGGATGTATAGTACCTAGGAATAACACATTTTAGCCAGAGATAGAATAATGTTTGTTCTCTCCTAGAGTAAGCTTTTGCTGATGGTATCCGACCGACAGATATTCATTATCTTGCGTGAAATTTTTTCAGAACTCCCTGAACTTTCTTGATGACGATTGTTATAGTTCTCCAAGTTTCAGCTCCTTACAGTAGAACTGACTTGACGTTCGTATTG